CTGGCGGCGCCAAGTTGACCGACTTTGGCGTCTCGCGCGAGCTCTGCGACTCGCGCACGCTGACCAACGGCATTGGCACGTTCCAGTGGATGGCGCCCGAGGTCATCAACGGCTCGTCGTACACTGAGGCGGCCGACATTTACTCGTTTGGTACTACGTTTCTACTCGTTCGAGATGCGGTTGCTCAGAAGAGAGGCATGGACGTAGGGGTGATTGTATCGGAGATGAGTACGCACGAGGTGCCGTACACCCAACGCTGTTTCTCGTCGCAGAGTGCGCAGAGTCTTTTGACCAAGGTCGCGAGCGGCGACCTGCGACCCGACTTTGACGCGACGTCGCCGCGTTGGGTCCATAAGGTTGGTGCGCGCTGCTTGGCGTGGGACCCGCGTCTGCGACCGACCACTTTGGAGCTCACGGTGTTGGTGCGGCAGTTTGTCGATTGTCTTGTGGATGACGATTATATGTCCTAAATGCGATCTATAAGTCTTAAAGATGATCTGTACTAGATTATCGCCATGAGTCAACAGCTATCTACCGTGCCAGGACCTACAGATGCAAAGGCGCAAGTCTAAAGTTGAGGCTACGGACGGCTTGAAAGCCACAACGTGGACGCATGCAACGTGAAAATAGCGTTCGATTTTGAATAAGTTGACTTGGGTGGATCTAATAAAACTTGGCTTTGACGCGCTGGAGGACGGCCGTGAGGTGGAGCGACGTCGGCCGGCCGCGCGGGTCCGTCGCCATGCACTGCTCGCCGAGCTCGACCACCCACGACGGCGTTTCGTCAAGAAGAAAGCTCGGGCGCAGCTCACCGGTGGTCACGCGCGACATGATGCTTTCCTGCGGGAACGCGTAACCCGTGTTGGGGTTGACCAAGCCGCTGTAGGGCACGGCGTGGGTCGAGAATTCCGACAAAAGGACGCCTACGAAAATGTCTCATAACCCTATCCCTAAATAGGAAATGGGTACCAAACGAGTAAACATCGGCAGCGATCGTATACTCGGTGCCGAGAATGACCTCGGGCGCCATCCACTGGTACGTGCCAATGCCGTTGGTCATCATCTCATCGGCTGCCTCGCGGGACGCGCCAAAGTCGGTTAATTTGGTGCCCTAATGGCCGAATATTGATGTTTCAAGCCAAAAACTCGAAATCGTGCATACCTTTTTCGAGTCGAGGAGGACGTTGCGGGACTTGAGGTCGCGGTGGATGATCGGCTGCGTAAACGTGTGGAGGTAGACAAGCCCTCGCGCGATGCTCATGATGGACGTAAACTTGTCCTGCCACGAAAACGCATCGCGCCGACAAGATGCCAGAATGCTGCGGAGGTCGCCACGGTCCATGAACTCGACAATGCACTCGATCTCGATCGGGCGGCGCCAGCTGACGCCGACAAACTTGACGATGAACGGCGAGTCCATCCTATTTCATCCATCAGTCTACTCCGTGCGTCTCTCGACGCGTACTGGATCATGAGCTTGATCTCTTCGATGAACTTTTGCACCGACTCGACGTGCGTGTCCTTGAGTCGCTTGATCGCGACCTTGTCGTTGCCGTACTGACCGAGCCAGACCTCGCCAAAGGCGCCAGCCGCCAGCGGCTTGGTGGCTGTGACCTTGAGGTCCGCGAGGTCGAGCTTGTGCATGCGCAGCTCTTCGATATTAATAAGGCCGTTCTCGGCCAGCTCGAGCGACGACTCGAGGGTTTGGAAGCCCGTGCCGTTTGCCCGGCGGAGGCGGCCGCCCGTGACCTCGCTTTGGAACGCGAGGAGGTCGGCCGCCGCCGTCTTCTTGCGGCGAATGAGCACTGCGATGAGCAATATCGCAATGATGGCAACGCCGCCAATCGCACACCCGATGATGAGCCCCGTGTCTAGTTTTTCATAAGACAACTTGTCCACAATGCAACCGTGTTTACCATTCTTGGACACGATGATGGGCGTCGGCGGTGGCAGTGCGTCTACGCGCATGGTCAGCGAATCATAACATGTCGCAAAATCCAAGTGTCGTACCTGGCACCACACAGACGTGAAAGGTGTGCGGCGATTTGCCGGCCCAGAGCGGTCGCACCGAGCCTTTCAGCGCGGCGCAGGCAGCTGCGTTCACGGCGAAGCCCGTGTCGAAGCGAAAGCCCGTGGACTCGACCGTGCTGGGCTCGGTCTCGTTGGCGTTGGGCAGCGCATTGAGCGCTTCGTACGTCTCGTTGTTGATGGTGAATTCTTGAATCGTACACCCCAAGCACGAGCTACAGCACGCAGCGATGAGCGTGCAATGTAGTACGCTAGGTCGCACAAGAATGCGATCGTTTTCGAGAGCCGGATGTTGACGATCGATGTAATCGGATTCGAACTCAGTTGCCTGCGCATATCCATATTCGGTCAGCCTTTTGCGACAGCAGGACATAGTGTTGTGTACAGGTATTGCATCGTGGTCCAGTCTTGGTCGGCGACGCGCGTGTACAAGTTGTCCCGCACGTTCCTACGTCGATATTTAGCGCCCCGCAAATATAAACTCAAAACTATCAAAAATCATCAAAATCATCCAAAGACGTACAAAAAAGTGAGGTTGGCCGGCAGGTAGTTGAAGTCGGAGAGCGTATTGTTCTGGATGGCCCTATGTACGATTAGGTGAGCCGATGCATCGCAATCCATAATGATCGTGTACAGGTTGATGGTCGTGGGCGGCAGGCCCTTGGGAATCGTCTGCAAGTTGTTTTTGCGCAAGGTACTTTACACAGCATGTCAATCCTGCTCCAGGAGGAGGCAATAGGCGTACATGGTCCGGAGGTGGTCGGGCCACTGAAACGTAGCGGGAAAAATCTCCAAGTTGGAGTCGAGGACGCCCAGCGACACAAGCGTCGACGGGAATTGCGTCTTGAGCTGCGTAAAGTCGATGCGCGAGATGTTCTGGATTTGCCTGCGATAAGAACTTAGCCCATGCGACGAGTCTCAAGAGAGCGTACAGCGCCTTGAGCGATGCGGGAAACTTCATGTCCTTCATGACCAGCGACGTCTTGTTGCCAATCTTCCTATACCATCGTGCCACATCGTGAGTCGCCGCATCCTGGCAAACGGCGGATACATATTGACGATGGTCGACGATGAGAGGTCGCCGACCGCGTTGAAGAAGGGCAGCGTCTTGGTCTCTTGGTCGAGTGTGATGTTGTTGACGACGGCGCAGTCGGTCGAGTTGATGATGCACGATCGGCCGACGATCGGGCACGCGGCGTCGGCCGTGTACACGAGCAGGTCGGGCGGGTACGAGCTGTAGAGGCAGGCGACCGCCGCCTTCGCCACCGGTGCCATGAGCAGCACCAGCATGAGCCGCAGCAGTCGGACGGCCATGATGCTCCAAGTGCGCAAGTGGGCTGCGGCTGGCACGAGAAAGGCAGTGCATCGAACCCCACGTGGCGCGTTCGTTGCGCTGTCCCACTCTCCTTCAAACCATGTGATTGGTCGCATGTCGCATACTTGTTTTATTTTAATCATTTGGGTTTTGTATGGGATGTTGTATTTTTAGTGCTTTTGGCGAATAAGAGGTTCTTTACTTGCAGTGCTGAGACGATTGTATTGCAAGAGTTTGCAGTTCATGATAGCATCACTCTCGTTTTGAAACGCTACACGATATGTAACGAGGGAGTAGGCCTCTATTTGCGACCGTCCAGCACCACATGAACGGCTGTGAGCAACCGCTCTTGGTGCAGAACAACGAACGCGCGAGTCGATAAGCTTGTGTGCAACTAGAGACGAGAAAGGTTGGATCTCCATGCATCTACCGGTACTATAGTACAGTGAAATATGAGACTCGAGTACGTACTGGAACCTGAAGCGATGGGAGTGGGAGGTTGACGTCGAACGATTCGAAGCCAGAGCTTTCGGTGCAGAGAGCGCTCGTCAAACGAACCAATCTCTTCAAGAAGCCATCTTGCTCCTACTACAGTACGTGCTTGGTGCGAGCATGACGAGCCGCGCGGCGTTGCAGCCGCCACGTTACAGCGCCCAAGATGAGAATGAGAACTGGAATTGGCGCCAACCCGCCGGCTGCTCCCTCTACTATCTCTCGATGTACAACCTGTGCACCAGCGCTCGCTCACGTTGTAGAGATTAGGATGATGGACCATAATCCGAATACGTGCATCCCAGCAACGATGGCGGCGCGCTCATTGGCGCCAAAAAAGGTGAGGGGTCGCAGCGCTCAAGACAGTGTTTTTTACAGTGTTTGGCATCCTGCCAGTGGATTGACTCTTGTTTATCCTACAGCCCTGCGCGTTCCGTGGGTGTCGACCACGTCATTCGCTACATGTACAATATGTACATCATCATGAAAAAGACGATATCACTATAATACGTCGACGGCCGGTCCTCGGGGCATTCCCTCGTTGCACAGCGTGGAGGCCCAAGATTGCACTTGGTCGAACCGTCGCGATCTTGTACGGATAACGCGTTTCGTATCCGACGGCGACGGCCGCGCTCGCACGATGGACGAGGTCGGCCTCGATGCATGACGCTCATGTGACAAGCGGCTTGTGTAGATGGACAAGACGGAGCTGGACGACCAGGTACGCTTGATGACGTAAGCGACCACGCGGCCATGGGCGGCGTAGAGCATGGACGAGATGTACGAGCTGCCCGACGACCTTGACGACCTTGACGCGAGGTACGTGGCGTCGTTTGCGCACAGCGTTCTTGACGGCGCCAGCTAGCGTCGATACGCTGGCATCACCGACCAAGCGCGCGTGTACGTACCAGTCGCCTATGCTACGAGTCGACCCATCCATCTCTCTGTGCAGTGCACGACAGCGACG